TGTTCAAGTCCTCCGTTGGAGTTTAAACTCAAAACTTAACGGCACAGGACTCTTACAGTAGTTATATACAGAAGAGAGTAAACTCTCGCCTTAATACAGGAAAGAGGGTCAAGAGAAGCAGAGTGCCAGAAAAAAGGACAGACACCTTTGCCAAGAGACCCTCATCACTGCCTCTGGTGCAAGTCAGTTTCCCCAGGCAGCTGGCCAACATTACCCTACCTCTCCTTGACTGTAGTCAGCAACTGCCATCAAATGATGTCCAGGTACATCATTTTACATAGGTGTCTTTGCTGCAAAAACAATTGACTCACTTTTTTCTAGAGAGCTCACTCAACATAATAAGCACCTATTATGTATATGCCAAACTAGCCTATGAAGTTTTTAGAAAGTTAGAAGATATAAAGGAAAATGTTATTGGTTGATAAAATCATATACTGTAATAAAAGTAGAAGCTGGTACCAGGGTAAATTAGAAAAATCAGTAAGAGTTTATGACTTTAGGAATACAATTTTCCAGCCCTTATTTAGACACTAATATCCACTAAAAGGAACCTGGACACCATGGAAGGTAGCTGATTCAATATCTTCAGATAGGAAGAATCAAAGTGTGTCTGAAATATGTGGTTGACAGAATCCAAAAAGAAAAGGTTGAAAGTAGCAGGGATGATACTGAAAGGACAGAGGAGTCAGCTGAAAGGGTGTCCTACTGTCTAGTTCGTGATAAACAATATTATTTGGACATGTTGAGTGTGTGAGCAGCTGTTGGTTTATAATGATACTCAAAAGGTCATTTAAGTTATGAAAAAGGCAATGCAAAGATGTTAGTCTTTTATTAATGTAATAAATATGGATATTTGTCTTTTATTATAGATGTCTCTGTTTCTATTTGTGTAAACAGGAGTAAAACAAATGAGCCCCTACATCGTGTTCAGGTAGAAAGATACGGGGTGGACAGGGGAAAGAGGGTTCAACTGTTAATCAGCTCTGCTGGCTACACACAACAATCAGAAAGGATTCAAATGGGAGTTCTAAAATGCTGGGTAAGCCAAATGTTCTAAAGAGGAATGTTATAATCATTTCTAAGAGATTTTAGTCTCTAAATGTTCCTTCTTAAATTTTTTACCATTTTTAACTACTGCACATAAACTTTAAAAATAACTCAAGTACAGGGAATTCCCTGGCAGTCCTGTAGTTAGAACTCGGCACTTTCACTGCCGAGGACCCAGGTTCAATCCCTGATTGGGGAACTAAGATCCCACAAGCCACGTGGCACAGCCAAAAATAAATAAATAAATGAAGTACAATATGGTATTTAATTATAATAAAGTTTAACGACTGGTACAGCTAGTCCCTCCTCATTACTTATTTTCAGAATTTTCTTGGCTATTCTCCCATGCTAAGCAGCCAGAACCACGGCCAAAATCACGCCCAGGAAGAGACTGGCAAGGACATTGCTGCCATGGCCACATCAGCTCCTTCGGCCCTACTTCAGTGAGCATTCAATTTGTAGCTGCTCCCGCAATCGAAATGCACTCAGAATGCCTCTATCTCTGGGTCACTTGCCCAGGCAGGATTATCTGATTGGTCAAGTCTAGGTCTCTCACCCTGCTCTCATGGCCGGGGGTCAAAGAAAACAGGAAAATGGTCTTTGGGCTGTCACGAGAAAAACTGCCTCTCACACAATGGTGGATGCCCCAGACAACGAGGGATTCCCGTGCTCAGCAGCCCCCATTTGACAAAGGTCCAGCTCCACAGGTCACCTGATAGATGCAGCTGCAAGTAGTTCAGGAAGATTAATAAAATTCCAGTTGTTGGTTTTTTTCTTTTTAAGTTCACGTTCTGCTGACAGTTCCTCCTGGCTTCTTTATCTCCCTGAACTGCTTTTTACCAATTATCTAATACATAAATTTTACCTCTGCCATCACTATTCTCTTTTAGACAGTCTTATAGCCATTCCTTCTCAAGCCATGTAAAGCTTACATTAACCACAACACAAGGCCATAAGTAGAAATAATCCAAATGTCTGCCAGCTAATGAATTGAAAAATAAAATGTAGACTATCCATACAATGAAATATTACTCTACCGTGAAAAGGAAAGAGATACTGATACACCCTACAACATGGACCAACCTTACAACGTTATTCTAAGTGAAAGAAGCCAGTCACATGACTGCACGTGTAGGAGTCCATTTATATGGCATGTCCAGAATAAGCAAATCCTGACACGCCAAGGAGATTAATACTTGCCCAGGGCTGTGGGGATAGAGGTATTTGGAGATGATGACTAAAGGATGCAATGCTTCTTTGGGGGTACGAGAGTATAATAAAATCGACGGTGTTATAGTTGCATCACCCCGTGAACACACCTAAGCCATTGAATTGTACTCTTTAAATGGGTGAATTCTGTGGCATATGAATTATATTCAATAAAACTCTTCCCCATAAAAGAGAGATACAACTCCTCTGTTACCGTAGAAAGATTAATTCATAGTTTTTGAAATACATCAAGATTACATGTAATCTTACGTTATAAAATGCATCAAGCTTACATTTCAAATACTTCACGTTTGGGGCTCCCCTGGTGGCGCAGTGGTTGAGAGTCCGTCTGCCGATGCAGGGGACGCGGGTTCGTGCCCCGGTCCGTGAGGATCCCACATGCCGCGGAGCGGCTGGGCCCGTGAGCCATGGCCGCTGAGCCTGCGCGTCCGGAGCCTGTGCTCCGCAACGGGAGAGGCCACAACAGTGAGAGGCCCGCGTACCGCAAAAAAACAGAACAAACAAACAAACAAAATACTTCACGTTCAGCATGAAGTCACTTAAATGAATACAGATAGGACTTGCACACTTTGTCACGGAAACTGATGCCAAAAGCTCGGCCTCTGTGCACCGCTGTCAAATCGGATCTCGGAGAGAGTTTTGGGTGAAATAGAAAAGGATAGCTTTATTGCCTTGCCAGGCAAAGGGGGACAGAACGGGCCGCTGTCTCGAAAAATGTGTCCCAACCCAGGAGGATTTGATGAGGAGTTTTATGACAATACTCCAAGGGTGGGGTTAGATGAGGGTGTGAGCAGGGTCTCAGGCGTGGGTCTCTTAATCTGGATGAGCTTCTCTGGTCCCTTTAATCTCACCTCAGGTGGTTTCTTGGCTGCTCCTCCCTTGATGAGCAACCGTACGAATCTGCCCTTTGGAACTCAGGGAAGGTCATGGAGGCTGGAGTCTGGTCTACAAGGAAAGGGGGGCACAAAGAGGCCTCCATGCCCGGGAGCCCCACAGTCACCCCCCCCCCCCCCGCCCTGGTTTCCAAACCATACTAAAGACTATCCATCAGCATAGGAATCCTAATCCTCAAAGCCTCCATCTGTTAACCTGGTAGTTCCCTGGGTGAACTTACTAAAAATGCTAACTCCCGAGCCCCATCTGTATTCTGAGCATTGCGATAAAGCACTGCATGAAAATTTTAATATTCCAAATCGATTTCATTTTTTTAAGTTTCATGAATTGAAATATTTGTGGACAGTGAAAGTCAAATTGCATTTAAAATTTTTCTGCACCACGAACCTCCAAAAATTTATAGGAAAAAAGAGTTTGGGGGACTTCCCTGGTGGTGCAGTGGTTAAGAATCCGCCTGCCAATGCAGGGGACACGGGTTCCATCCCTGGTCCGGGAAAATCCCACACACCACGGAGCAGCTAAGCCCGTGCGCCACAACTACTGAGCCCGTGCACTGCAACTACTGAAGCCCACGTGCTCTAGGGCCGGCTCTGCAACAAGAGAAGCCACCGCAATGAGAAGCCCGCGCACCTCAATGAAGAGAAGCCCTGCTCGCCGCAACTAGAGAAAAGCCCGCGTGCAGCAACGAGACCCAACGCAGCCAAAAAAAAAAAAGTTTTGTGTAGCAGTATCACTCAATTCCTTGACTGCTTCTGTTACAAGCAAAACCAAAATGAAACAAGATCTATCATTTAAATTTTTAAATGTTTAATTAAATATTCACCTAAGGGACTTCCCTGGTGGTCCAGTGTTAAGACTCTATGCTCCCAATGCAGGGGGCATGGGCTCGATCCCTGGTTGGGGAACTAAGATCCCACATGGAAAAAAAAAAAAAATCAGCTGACAAAGCTATTAGGTTGTGCTGAAAGCCAAGCACTGGAAAACCTCCAGTTTTGTAAATAATTTATTTCTTATTCTCACAGCAAATCAGCCTTTTCAACTGTGCCATCGTTTGGTGCCCTGAGGGTGTTTACAGCATCCTGTAAGATTCAGGATAAGTGCTAGGTGTGCAAAATAAGGAAAGAATAAAGTTCAAAGGGGAGGAGGCAGTAGCAGCCCCAGGGTGAGACCTGTAGGACACGGCATGTCTGCAAGAGGGAAAGGAGAGAGCTAAAACTTCAACTTGCTTTCAGAGTTTTCCATCTGAGAGGAAACAGCTTGGATAATACAAATTCCTGAAGTCCACTGAAAGAATGCATGAGCTCAAAGAGAACTGTTGTATTAGTTTGCTAGGACTGCTATAACAAAATACCACAGACTGGGTGTCTTAAACAACAGATATTATTTTCTGACAGTTCTGGAGGCTGGAAGTCCAAGATCAATTTGGTGACAGGTTTGGGACTTCCCCAGTGGCACAGTGGATAAGAATCTGCCTGCTCATTCAAGGGACATGGGTTCGAGCGCTGATCCAGGAAGATCCCACATGCTGCGGAACAACTAAGCCCGTGCGCCACAACTACTGAGCCTGCGCTCTAGAGCCTGCATGGTTAGTTTTTATGGGCTGGGTAATTTCATAGGCTAATGAGTGGGAGGATTATTCCAACTATTTTGGGAAAGGGGCAGAGATTTCCAGGAATTGGGCCACAGCCCACTTTCTGGTCTTTGATGGTTGGCCTCAGAACTGTCTGTGGCACTGGTGGGTGTGTCACTTACCTTACGCTAATGTATTACAATGAGTGTATGATGAGGCTCAAGGTCCACTGGAAGTCAAATCTTCCGCCATCTTGGATCTAGTTAGTTCTAACCAGTTTTTGTCATGTCCTATGGCTATATCATTCTTTTAAAGGTTGTGCCCTGCCCCCTTCCCTCCTGTTTTACTTTCTATGTCCAGATTTCTTCCTCCTTGTAGGACACCAGTCAGACTGGATTAGGGCCCACCCTAATGGCCTCATTTTAACTTCATCACTTCTTTGAAGGCCCAATTTCCTATTTGTCACATTCTGAGATACTAGGGGTTGGGATTTCAACATATTAATTGGGGGGGGGGACACAATTCAGCCCCTAACAACTATTATCTCCAAATCTGAGGTGCAAGTTCACAGATGGCCTACTGGGCCTGACAGCTGTCACTGCAGTGCCATCTTCCAGCCACTCAAAGCGAAGGACCAGCCCAACAACCGTCCAGGGTTGGCTATTCATAGCGGTCATTCTGAAGAAGGGAGAGAATTAAAAGGTGGGAGTAAACAACCATGCTTATGTATAGACTATCTCTATGAGGACACAAGTAACTCTGTTCTGTCGCCCCAGCAAAGGAGGGGGGCAGAAAAGAAAGGGGAGATTTTTCAGGCATATTTTGCTTTTTAAAACTAATAATTAATTTATTAAAGTTACAGTATTGAAATTCAGCTTACATATCTTATTATCTTATTTATAAGTTTGACAAACGTTAACTGTCATTGTTAAGGGAACTTTAGTTAACAGTTGATTCCAGGGACTTCCCTGATGGTGCAGTGGTTAAGACTCTGCACTCCCAATGCAGGAGGCCTGGGTTCGATCCCTGGTTAAGGAACTAGATCCCACATGCATGCCGCAACTAAGAGTTCACATGGTGCAACTAAGGAGCCTGCAAGCCGCAACTGAGACCTGATACAAATAAATAAATAAATAAATATTTTTTAAAATAGTTGATTCCATTAACAAATGAAAACATTTGAGGCTGAATTTTAAGTTTTCTATATTTGTTTTCCTTTCCAAATACTTCTATTATCTGACTTAAGAAAATAAAAAGCCTGAGTATTACTATGATACATTAAACTTACAAAATAAGTTGATGGCTAAAATTCTCTTAGATACGCTAATAATGTATATAAACTTAGGAAGATTTCAATTTTAAATCAAAGTCTAAATTACTCAATTACACATTTTCAATTATAGTTTAAGACTGTCCCAGAATTCTATTAGGTGTGAGTTTCTAAATATTAAACTATATAAAATACCAAATATACTCTAATTTCTTAACACAAAAAAATTAACACTTCTGATTTTTCACTGAGATATAATTCACACACTATACTTTTAAAGTGTACAATTCGGTGATTTTTAGAGTATGAACAAAGTTGTACAACCATCACTACTATCTAATTCCAGAACATTCACATCACTCCAAAAAGAAACCCCTATCTGTTAGCATTCACTCACCTTAGTGTTTTGCTTCTTCCACTTAGCATAATGTTTGTAAGGTCCATGCATGTTGTAATACGTATTGGTACCACATACATTTTTATGACTGAATAATATTCCACTGTATGGATATATCACATTTTGTTTATCCATTCATCAGTTGATGAACATGTGGGTTGTTTCTACTTTGGGGCTATCATGAATAATGTGGCTGTGAATACTCATGTACAAGTTTTTGTGTGGAAGCATGTTTCCAGTACTCTTGGGTAAATAGGTAGGAGTAGAATTGCTGAATCATTGGTAACTCCATGTTTAACCTTTCAAGAAACTGCAAACTGTTTTCTAAAGGGGCTGTTCCATTTTACATTCCCATCATCAATATATAAGGGTTCTGATTTTTCCACATCCTCACCAACACTTGCTATTGTCTATCATTTTGATTATAGCCATTCCAGGGGTATGAAGGGGTATCCCACTGTGGTTTTGATTTACATTTCCCTAATGACTAAGCATCTTTTAATGTTTTAGTGGCCATTTGTATGTCTTCTTTGGTGAAATGTCTATTCAAATTCTTTGCTCATTTCAAAACTGAGTTAAATGTCTTTTTATTAATGAGTTGTAAGAGTTCTTTATATATTCTGGATACCAGACCCTTATCAGATACGTGATTTGAAAATTTTTTCTCATATTATGTGGCTTGTGTTCTCAGTTTCTCAATGGTATTCTTTGAAGCACAAATATTTTTAATTTTGATGAAGTCCAATTTTTCTATTTTTTCTTTTGTTACTTTTGCTTTCGGTATCATATCTAAGAAATCATTGTCAAATGCAAGGTCACAAAGGTTTACACCTATGTTTCCTTCTAAAAGTTTTATGGTTTCAGCTCTTACATTTGATCCATCCCAAGTTCATTTTTGTATATAATGTGAAGCAAGGGTTTGACTTCATTCATTTGCAAGTGGATATGCAGTTGTCCCAGCAACATTTATTGAAAAATCTATTCTTTCCCCCATTTAATTGTCTTGGCATCCTTGTCAAAAATCACTTGACCATAAATGTATGAGTTTATTTCTGGACTCTCAATTATATTCCATTTATCTATATGTCTATCCTTATGCCAGTACCACAAAGTCTTGATTACTGTAGCTTTGTAGTGAGTTTTGAAATCAGGAAGTGTGACTTCTCTAACTTTGTTCTTTTTTTTCTTTTTTTAAAAAATATTTATTTAGGCTGTGCCTGGTCTTAGTTGCGGCGTGCAGGATCTTTAGTTGTGGCATTCAAACTCTTAGTTGCTGCATACATGTGGGATCTCGTTCCCTGACCAGGGATAGATTCCAGGCCCCCTGCATTGGGAGCATGGAGTCTTACCCACTGGACCACCAGGGAAGTCCCCTGTTCTTCTTTTTCGAGAGTATTTTTTATATTCTGTGTTCCTTGCATTGCCATATAAATTCATGATCAGCTTGTCAACTTCTTTCAGAAAGGCCGACTGAGATTTTGAAAGGAATTTATTTTAACCTGTAGATTAATTTGGAGACTATTGCCATCTTAACAATATTAAGTCTTCCAATCAATGAACACAGGATGTCTTTCCATTTACTTGGGTCTTCTTTCATTTCTTCCAGCAATATTTTATATATTTTTTAACATCTTTATTGGAGTATAATTGCTTTACATTGTTGTGTTAGTTGCTGCTGTATAACAAAGTGAATCAGCTATACGTATACATATAACCCCATATCCCCTCCCTCTTGTGTCTCCCTCCCACCCTCCCTATCCCACCCCTCTAGGTGGTCACAAAGCACTGCACTGAACTGATCTCCCTGTGCTATGCGGCTGCTTCCCCAATAGCTATCTATTTTACATTCAGTAGTGTATTATTTTATAATTTTTAGTGTCTTATACCTCCCTGGTAACGTTTATTCCTAATTGTTTTCTTTTTTCATTTTGATGCTATTTTAAATGGAATTGTTAATTTCTTTTTCAGCTTTTTCAGTGCTAGTTTATAGAAATACAACTTATGTTTGTATTTTGACCTCGTATCCTGCAACTTCGCTGAGCTCATTTATTAAGTCTTGCAGTGTCTTTATCAACCCTTTAGGATTTTCTATATAGAAGATAATGTCATTGGAAATGCAGTTCTACTTCTTTCTTTCCCACTTTTTTCCCAAATAAAATATGTCTTTTATTTCTTTTTCTTGTCTAATTTACCTGGTTAAAACTTAAAGCAAAATGCTAAATAGAGGGCTTCCCTGGTGGCGCAGTGGTTGAGAGTCAGCCTGCCGATGCAAGGGACACGGGTTCGTGCCCCGGTCCAGGAAGATCCCACATGCCGCAGAGCGGCTGGGCCCGTGAGCCATGGCCACTGAGCCTGCGCGTCCGGATCCTGTCTTGTTGCTAGGGGAACAAGTTTTCAATCTTTCCTTTTAAGTGGATTTTAGTAGATACCCTTTACTAGATTGAGGAAGTTCCTTCCTAGTCCTTGTTTGTTGGGTGTTTTTATTATGAATGAGAGTTAGATACTGTTAAATGCTTTTTCTGCATCAATTGAGATGATCATGTGGTTTTTTTCCTTTCATTCTATCAATATGGTAGATTAATTGATTTTCATATACTAAACCATCCTTGCTTTCCTAGAATGTCTCTCTTGGTCATGGTGTATAATATTTTAATATGCTGCTGGATTTGACTTGCTAGTATTTTGTTGAAACTTTTTCATCTATATTCATAAAGCATATTAGTCTGTAGTTTTCTTTTCTTGTAATGTCTTTGTCTGGCTTTGGTGTCAGGATAATACTGACCTCAGAGAATGAGGAACATTTAGGAAATGTTTTCTCCTCTTCTATTTTTCTTTTCTTAGCACCCTTCAAATAGGCCTTTACTGCCAGGGCAGTGAAAGTTTCAAAACAAATCAAAGTAACTAATTTTATCCCATCAGCTTTCTGTACTAGAAGAGTAGACAAACTGATCCTTCAAGAATTTGGATGGTCACTAATCATTAGAGAAATGCAAATCAAAACCACAATGAGGTATCACCTCACACCAGTCAGAATGGCCATCATCAAAATATCCACAAACAATAAATGCTGGAGAGGGTGTGGAGAAAAGGAAACCCTCTTGCACTGTTGGTGGGAATGTAAATGGATAAAGCCACTATGGAGAACAGTATGGAGGTTCCTTAAAAAACTAAAAATAGGGGCTTCCCTGGTGGCTCAGTGGTTGAGAGTCCGCCTGCCAATGCAGGGGACACGGGTTCGTGCCCCGGTCCAGGAGGATCCCCCATGCCGCAGAGCGGCTGGGCCCGTGAGCCACGGCCGCTGAGCCTGCGCGTCCGGAGCCTGTGCTCCGCAACGGGAGAGGCCACAACAGTGAGAGGCCCGCGTACCGCAAAAAAACAAAAACAAAAAACAAAACAAAAAAAACAGAAAAGCAAGAGGGGAATATCTGAGCAAGAACATCAGAGGCTACACATTGTGGAGAAATAGACTTGGCAGAATTAGTTCAGCCAATTCACTAGACAAACAGACAACAAAGCAAATAACAACCACCTTTAGAGGGGGGAAATCAGTATCCAAAGTTGCTACAATATATTACATAAAATGTCCAATTTTCAACAAAAAATTACAAGACATGCAAAAAATAGGAAAGTGTGACCCATATACAGGAAAAAAAAGTAGGTAATAAAAACTGCCTTTGAAGGGGCCTGAATGGTGCACTTTGCAAAGACTTCAAAGCAGCCATTATAAATATGTACAAAGAATTAAAAGACAGGGGGACTTCCCTGGCGGTCCAGTGGGTAAGTCCATATGCCACAACTAAAGATCCCACATGCCAAAACAAAGATCCCACGTGCCGCAACTTAAGACCTGGCACAGCCTAAATAAATAAATAAATAAATATTAAAAAAATTAAAAGACGGTATCATGAAAATGTCTCATCAAATATAGAATATTAATAAAGAGATAGAAATTACTTTAAAAGATTCAAATAGAAATTCTGAAGTTAAAAAATATAACATTTGAAATGAAAACTTCACTAGAGGGACTCAGTAGATTTGGGTTTTTTTTTAAGTTTTTATTTTTAACTAATTAATTTATTTTATTTATTAGCCATGTTGCATCTTAGTTGTGGCATGCGGGATCTTTTGTTGCGGCACACAGGCTCTTTGTTGTGGCTCACGGGCTTCTCTCTAGTTGTGTGCACGGGCTCCAGAGCATGAGGGTTCAGTAGTTGCAGCATGTGGGCTCTAGAGCACATGGGCTCGGTAGTTGCCCTGCAGCATGTGGGATCCTAGTTCCCCAGCCAGGGATCAAACCCGAGTCCCCTGCATTGGAAAGCGGATTCTTTACCAATGGACCACCAGGGAAGTCCCCTCAGTAGTAGATTTGAGCTGGCAGAAGAAATGGTGAACTTGAAGATAGATCAAATAGAGATTATCCAACCGGAGGAACAGAAAGAAAAACGAATGAAGAAAAATAAACAGAGCCTCAGAGAAATCTGACACCATTAAATACACCATCAAATGCATAAAGGGGGTGTCAGAAGGAGAGAAAGGGATGAGAAAAACAATTGAAGAAATAATGGCTGAGAACATCCCAAATTTTATGGAAAAACATTCATTTACCATCCAAGAACCTCCATGAACTCCAAGCAGGATAAACTCAAAAAGATTCACATCCAGATACATCAGAGCCAAAATGTTTAAAGCCAAAGATAATGAATGTACATGGTAGTAGATACCAGGGGAATTCGGATCACACAGGACTTTAATTGTTGAACAAACCCAATGCATAAGAGAAAAAGAACGTAATGGATCTTAACTTCAGATAAAAATTCTTTACCTATAAATGAAGTCCCAGGTTTCCCAAGGATTGATGAAGGCTTTCCACCCTGCAGTTGGGATCTCAAAAAAGGAAAGAAAGAAAAGAAAAAGAAAACGGTAACTATGTGAGGTGATGATATGTTAGTTTGTTAATTAGCGTGGTTGTGATGATTATTTCACAATTATACATATACGAAATTATCAAGTTGTGCACCTTACATGTATACAATTTTTGTCAATTATACCTCAATAAAGCTGGAAACAAATTTTGAAGAATGAGGAAAACATAGTGTTGTGCTGTAAAGCAGTGATTTTGATAAACAGGCTGGGTACATATAATACGGGTTGGAATCAATTCAAATCTTGATTCTCAGGCAGCTGATATGCATTCCCCATTAGTAGCCTGCAAGGAGAGTGAGGTATATACATTATTCATGGTTTCAAGGAACAGAAAGCACTAGAGACCAGCACCAGTCAAATGCAGATAATTCAGGCTCAAATGACAATAAATCAACATGTTAATTCGATGCCAAAAATGGAAACTGGCATCCTGGGTTGGGAAAGGCAGTTTTCCATTAGCAAATGTCCACAAATCCTGTGTGTGGCCCTTACTGACCACCTTAGAATGGTTCAATAACTGGGTAGCCCACCTGCGAAGAGGGAAAACGGAAAAATATCTAAATGAGTGTGAATCTCCTCTTTTCCAGGGTACCTTTTCCCAACCCCCCTAGACTTTAGGTCTCTGTTATGCTAATTAAGTTAATATACTGCCTTTTAAAAAAAATTTTGGCCACACCGTGCAGCATGCTGGACCAGAGATAAAACCCAGGCCTCCACAGTGAAAGCACTGAAACCTAACCATTAGGCCACCAGGGAATTCCCTCGTTGTCTTTCTTTTAAAGCTGACACTGCCTACAGCCAACTCTTCCTTGATCAAATAGAGTAAAAAATGAATTAATATACTCAAACTAACATAATACTGTACCTCAACTCTATTTCAATAAAATAAACAAAAAAATGAATTCAGATGAATTGAGAATCATATTTCATAGTGAATGAACTGAGAATCATATTTCATAGTGAATGAATTGAGAAGCATATTTCATAGTGCTTCTGGGAATTGTAGCTCCAGAAGATAAGATTCGCAAACATCACTGAAAAATATGTGATTTTAGGATGCAGATGGAACCATAAATCAATCTTCAGGGGAGTGTGATTTTGGTTACTACGGCACCACACTTATTGGAAATAAATCAACTTCTTTGCAGTTACCACAGAACCAGCAAATGAAAGAAAGGGGAAAAGAAGAAACAGATGGATTAAAACAGAGTCCTCACTTGCTCAATTTTCTTTTTTTAATATTTATTTATTTTGGCTGCAGCAGGTCTTAGTTGTGGCATCTCCGTTGCGGCATGCGGGATCTTTAGTTACAGCATGAAGACTTCTTAGTTGCAGCATGCATGTGGGATCTAGTTCCCTGACCAGGGATCGAACCTGGGCGCCCTGCATTGGGATCTCGGAGACTTAACCACTGGACCACCAGGGAAGTCTCGAGCCCTCACTTGCTTTAGTCAAAGTGTGAAACTACATCTGAGAGTACAAAGAGAAAAGAGGTTACTTTTGTAGTGCCATGCTTCTTGCAGTAGCTCAGTGAAGTGTTTAATATAACTATAAGGTAAGAAAATTTGTTTTCTGGTAACTTTTAAAAAATATCACACATCAATTTCCCACCCACTCAGAAACAGAATTAATGATTAAGTTTTGGTGTGCTAACTAAATTCATGTCAATTCTCTACCCTCCCTTGTTTATGGGGAAATTTGTTTCAAAATGCTCAACCCTATTCTGAGAGCATGGGATTATGAAAAAGATGTTCCAGACTAGGAAATGTCACACACATCTAATCCAACACACTTTAATTTAAAACCAGCCGTTATGTGTAAGATTATACTACAACCCAGCTGACAGACTGGAGGTAATAATTAGACTTTGTGGAAAATAATAGACTGAGGTTCAAGCATGTTGATTTGAATCATGACATAACCTTAAAGTGGTTAACAATTTTATACAGAAAATGAACAGGTTTTTAAAAGTCTGTGGAAGTACTTCCCTGGTGGTCCAGTGGTAAAGAATCTGCCTTACAATGTAAGGATGCTGGTTCGATCCCTGGTTAGGGAACTAAGATCCCACATGCTGCGGAGCAACTAAGCCCGCGTGCCACAACTACTGAGCTCATGTGCCTCAACTAGAGCCTGTGTGCTGCAGACTACAGAGCTCACGTACCCTGGAACCTGCGCACCACAACTAGAGAGAGAAAAGCCGCACACCACCACTAGAGAGAAGCCCACGCACTACAATGAAGAGTGTGCGCGCCACAACAAAAGATCCCACATGCCTCAGTGAAGATCCCGCATGCCACAACTAGGACCTGATGCAGCCAAAAATAAATAAAATAAATAATAAATAAATCTTAAAAAAAAATAGTCTATGGAGTTCAAATAAGCGAGGTAGCATGATCACATTAAAAACACTAGTCAACCAGGAATTCACTGGTGGTTTAGTGGTTAGAATTCGGGCTTTCACCGTGGCCTGGGTTCAATCCCTGGCCGAGGGAACTGCCAAGTGGCACAGCCAAAATTAAAAAAAAAAAAAAAAATGCTAGTCAACCTACGTGTTTGGTTCTGACTCTAAATGTGATCCTCTGATCACTTCTTATTATCTTTAGGACTGTTGACTGCAGAGTATGCAGGCACCTTCTACAAGGAAAAGAACTAGGACTTCACTGGTGGTGCAGTGGTTAAGAATCTGCCTGCCAATGTAGGGGACACGGGTTCGAGCCCTGGCCCGGGAAGATCCCACATAGCCACAACTACTGAAGCCTGCATGCCTAGAGCCCGTGCTCCATAAGAGAAGCCACTGCAATGAGTAAGCCCACTTGCTGCAACTAGAGAAAGCCCACAGGCAGCAACAAAGACCCAACACAGCCAAAAAGAAAAAGAAAGAAAAGAACTATATTTTAATTCTTTTACTTGTTTTTTTTTTCTGTTTTAATGAGAACTATATTTTCAAATGGTGGACTCTTTCTTCCCATAACTAAACTGAGGAAGACCTGCTGACTTAAAAGTCCATGGGGGAAGGGGGGGCTTCCCCGGTGGCGCAGTGGTTGAGAGTCCGTCTGCCGATGCAGGGGACACGGGCTCGTGCCCCAGTCCGGGAAGATCCCACATTCCGCGGAGCGGCTGGGCCCGTGAGCCATGGGTGCTGAGCCTGCGCGTCCGCAGCCTGTGCTCCGCAACGGGAGAGGCCGCAACAGTGAGAGGCCCGCGTACCTGTAAAAAAAAAAAAAGTCCATGGGTTGCGGATTCCCTGGCAGTCCAGTTGTTAGGGTTCTGCGCTTCCACTGCAGGGGGCACTGGTTCCATCCCTGGTGAGGGAAACTAAGATCCCAGATCCCACAAGCCATGTGGCATGGCCAAAAAAAATAAATAATAATATTGCATCTATGTTAAATCTGCTGAATTTGATAACAGTGCTAGGGTGATGTAAGAGAACGCCCTTGTTTTGAGGAAACAAATACTTAAGTACTTTAGGGTACAGGGGCGTAAAACATGTAATTATTTTTAAATACTGATGTACTTTGGGGTAAAGGGACATAATATATGCAATTACTTTTAAATACTGAAGTACTTTGGGTAAAGGAACATAATATATGCAATTACTTTTAAATAATTCAGAAAGAAATACATACATGGGAGAAAGAGAGAAAATGGTAAAGCAACTCTTGGTAGCTGAACCAATACCAGAAACTGCCTACCTCCACCATTTCATATAAATAAGAAAAATAATCCTCCAAGTCAGTTAGCTAATTTACACTTTGCAGCTGAAAGCGTGCTTTACTGATAACTCAGCTGACTCCAATTCACCTTCTACATGTACAGAATCACACTATAGAACTGACATTCTGAAAACAGAAATGGACTTAGAGTCCCAGTAACTTACAGAGTCTAGTCACTTAACCAAGTCACTTAACTGCTCGCGGTTAAAGTATAGTTACTTATAAGATGCCAACATCAAAATGGCATTTGTGATGAGTGCATTGTAAAATGCAAAGTGCTATATAAGTACGGGTGTTTCTAAAACTGTGTTTCTGCTTTTTTACCCTTTTATAGCTTTGTTTAAAATGTTGGCTAGAAGAGTTAAAACTTGTAGAAACATTTTCTTTCGCACAGGAGTTCTTCTACGCTCATTGTTTGCTTATAAGGAAATACTTCTGAATAAGAATTTAACCATTTTCTGCACACCTACATAGAAGGTAACAAATTATTACACTGTCTATAACTCAGAAGCCTTTCTAGGCTAGTACCTATTTCTGGCTTCTTTTAGGAGACACAATCATAACAAATAGATTTAATGTGCCAGGCATTGTGCAAAGTGGCATACGTACATTGTGTAATTCTCACAAAAACTCAGTGAGTTCGATGCAATTATTATTTCATCATCAGTAAAATGGGGAAAACAATAGCAATTACCTCACAGGTCTGTTGTAAGGATTTGAAAAGACTATACATAGAGCATTTAGCACAGTGCTTGGCCAAAAGTAACTGCTAAATACAGTTTACCATTTGTTGGTACCTTCATCTTACAGATAAACAGACACAGAAAAAAGGCAAGTGTAAGCAACAGGATTTTCAACTCAGGTCTGACTCCCCAAGTTTCTGCCGCTTTCTTTCTTCTTTCTTTTTTTACAATTATCTCCTCGTACAGTAGGGTAAATCCCCATGATAGTGGCTGAACTTAAAGCCAGGAAACACCTAATTTAATTGTCTTCGACTGTGCTTACCCCCTACCAACGCCAGGCAGAGTGAGCTGCTCACTACGTTCTTGAACTAATGAAAGACTAGGTTTCTAACCCGGGTGAGCTATATCTTTCTGGGCTGGGTAGTTTCCTCGTCTCTGAGCTGGTGTCCCCGGCTGCAGACCCGAAGAGGCTGTTCAGGTCCTGTTCGGGGAAACGGACTTGTCTTCGCCTCCTCAAAAAACAATTTACCGAGGGCCACTGCCCTCCGAACCACTAGGACTTGAAGGATCCCAACCTACATTCGCCTACGGTAACTCCTATATGTCTCCACCACCTCCACGGCGACCTTCTCGGAGCCCGGCTCTACCCGCGCCTTCCTCTTGGCAGACGCAGGCGCAGGCGCGCGGCAGAGTTCTGCGCTCGCCGCACTTCCCGGCAAACTACAGCTCCCAGAATCCCCGTCGATCGATCCACCTCCCACCCGAGGTGGGGGCGGAGGTGGAGCAGATAGTCTGGGGCGGGGCGTATCATCTTGAAATGTCCTGCTCGTGCCCTCTTGGGAAGAGTTCGTTTTAAAAGAGATTCTGGGGTTCCCTGATAAGGTAGGACATCTGTCCCTTTTAGGTATAATACTGCCCTCCGCACCCCGAGGGTTCCCTCAGTGTAAAACGCAGGTGGTCTAGTCCAGCGGAGACACTTGTCCCCGGCCACGGCGGAGAAGCCTGAGGAGTGAAGGGCCCATCGCCCACGCATGCGCACAGGCGTAGCATGGGGGCGGGAGCCGCTGAGCCCCTTCCCAGCATCTGAGGTGAGTAGGGGGCGGGGCGGGGCGGGGCGTGTCCCGGGTTGGGACTGACCACTCCCCCGCGACGGCCACAGTTCGCACAATCACTACTATGCCAATTAACTCTGAAATTGCTAGACCCCAGTTGTCCGGAAAATTGGAGTCCCCAGGAGCTCAGTTTTAGCGTTTATACATCAAAATACTGTTTTCAGTTAAACCACTTCCAGCATTTCACTGCCATTATCTGTGTACAAGACTTTCTTCTCTACTATACCGTGATTTTTTTTGGTTGTTTTGGTTTTTTTTTTTTTTGCGGTACGTGGGCCTCTCACCGCTGTGGCCTCTCCCGTTGCGGAGCACAGGCTCCGGACACGCAGGCCCAGCGGCTATGGCTCACGGGCGCAGCCGCTTCGCGGCATGTGGGATCCTCCCGGACCGGGGCACGAACCCGTGTCCCCTGCATCGGCAGGCGGACTCCCAACCACTGCGCCACCAGGGAAGCCCTACCGTGTATTTTTTTTTTTAAATAAATTTATTTATTTTTGGCTGTGTTGGGTGTTCGTTGCTGCCTGCAGGCTTTCTCTAGTTGTGGCGAGCGGGGGCTACTCTTGGTTGCAGTGCACGGGCTTCTCATTGCGGTGGCTTCTTGTTGCAGAGCACGGGCTCTAGGTGCGCAGGCTTCAGTAGTTGTGGCACGTGGGCTCAGTAGTTGTGGCACATGGGCTCAGTAGTTGTGGCGCACGGGCTTAGTTGCCCCGCAGCATGTGGGATCTTCCTGGACCAAGGCTCGAACCCGTGTCCCCTGCATTGGCAGGCGTATTCTTAACCACTGCACCACCAGGGAAGCCCTATACCGTGCATTTTTAAAATAATAGCGAACATATTGGGAGGCCTCACCTTTCATCTTGGTTTTCCGGCATGCAGCAGATAGCTCCTTCCTAACAAGCTGTAGAGCTTAAAGTCTTTTGGACACTTGATTCTATTCAATTTAGTGTCAGACTAGGTACATACTTTGTCATGTTCTCTGATTGTTTCACATATGTCTTCTCATGACAGGACTCCTTGGGACGATAAAGACAATGATACACTCACTAACTAAGGAAATGGTGGTGCCAATGAAATTTATAATCTGCTGGGGATACAGACAATTAAGCAAGGGGCTTATTGTGCCCTAACCCTAACCATTTTGCTTACAACTTGCTGTGGGACTTGGTTATGTTGCTTAACCTTCTGAGCCTACATTTTCTCACAAAATGAGAAGATTGGACTAGATGATCTCTCAGAACTTGCCAGCTCTAAAATTCTGTGGTTAGTTAGTGAGGAGTAGAATCCAGATTATATCATAATATGTTAATGCAAAGCATCATCAACTTCCATTTCTCTGCTAACATAAATGGAATATAGCTACAAGAATTTTGGCAGCAGCATTAGAAAGAACTACCCCTTGTTGTACTGTAATTTAATCCTTATTGCTGAAAATATGAATTCAGCTGATAATACAACTGTCTTCACCCTATATTTGTTGTCGTTTTATAGATCATTGCTAGGAAGAACTCTGGGTACAATAATGAACAGTGTATGCGATGATGGCTCAAATCTTAAGATCTCATCTGATAAATGCTTCAGTGATTCCTAATCGAATGAAAATGGGTCCATATCTTGGTGTCATTAGAACTAGAATGATGTCAACTCATAAATCCAAAAAGAATATGAGAGAATATTATAGGCTGCTGAATCTGGATGAAGGATGCTCTGCAGATGACGTCAGGGAATCTTTTCATAAGCTTGCCAAGCAATACCATCCAGATGGTGGCTCTAATACTGCTGATTCTGCAACATTTATAAGGATCGAAGAAGCTTATAGGAAGGTGCTTTCCCACGTGATAGAACAAACAAATGCCAGACAGAGTAAAGTTGAAGGAACAGAAGAAGAAGAAAAAAAATTCAAATATAACACACCCCAACACCGGCATTATTTAAGTTTTGAGGGTATTGGTTTTGGGACTCCAAGTCAACGAGAGAAGCAGTATAGGCAATTTAGAGCAGACCGTGCAACTGAGCAAGTGATGGAATACCAAAAGCAGAAACTGCAAAGCCAGTATTTCACCGATAGTGTAACTGTTAAAGATGTAAGACACAGTAAGGAACAAAAGATAACTCAAGCAATAGAACGTTTGGTGGAGGATCTCATTCAGGAATCAATGGCAAAAGGAGACTTTGACAATCTCAGTGGGAAAGGAAAACCTCTAAAAAAATTTTCTGGCTGTTCATATATTGATCCCATGACTCACAACCTGAACAGAATATTGATAGATAATGGATACCAACCAGAATGGATCCTAATGCAAAAGGAAATAAAGGATACTATTGATCAACTCAGAGAGGCAATTTTAGTGTCAAGGAAAAAACTTGGGAATCCAATGACACCAACTGAACAGAAACAGTGGAACCAAGTTTGTGAGCAGTTTCAAGAAAACATCAAAAAACTAAACAAGCGAATTAATGACTTTAATTTGATTGTTCCCCTTCTGACCAGGCAAAAAGTCCATTTTGATGCCCAGAAAGAAATTGCCAGAGCCCAGGAAATATATGAGACGCTTATGAAAACACAAGAAGTCACAGATAAAAACCCAAATAACTTTGATCAGGGAGAAGAAGAGAAAACACCTGGAGTCAAGACAGGTTTCTTTAACTGGATGAATGTGTGGCAATTTATTAAAACATGACCATCTCATTGTTCACAGAACTGCCCCCAATCATTTTCAGTAGTACTGACATCACACATAGAGGCTGAGATTTCTTTCTATAACACAAGAGTCTGAGAACTGTGTGCCTCTGTACTTTTCACAAAACAAGTCACATCTCCAGTGATGTGTAGATGAGAGAGCTGTAAGAAACTAAGTCAGAGAAATACTCAACCAGCTTTGCTCTGAGGATATGGCAAAACAAGAGGAGAACTTACTTTTAAGGAAACAATTTAATACATTTCAGTTCGTAAATGTCGGTCATCAGGTGAAAGGAGTTAGGATAGGGACTCAGGCTGGGAATCATAAAGGGTATTCCAAAGTCTTAGTGCAGTTTTAAACTCTAATTTAAAAACATTTGTTGTTTGCCATCTTCAAACATAGGTACTTCAACAACAACTAAGAATGTATCATGAAAGGTCACAAAATGAAAGAAGTATGGAATGTAGGCAACTAAACCTCCAAATGATGTATGTTTTTCACAAGTTTGCTGCATTTATACACCTGAGGTTATTAAAGCACAAATTTTTCTAAGACTTTTGGGACATTCTCTATATGGTTGGAAATGTTAAGATCAGAAAATTAGCCTAGTGGAGTTATAACACTCTTCTTTTTTATAAAGCCCTTCTCTCTGGGTACTGAATAAAGAAACCACCAAATATCTTGGTTGTACTTTTTCCTGCCTAACTTCATGAGCCATTAGCAGCGCAGAGCCATCAGCCAAGCTAGCTGATTTAGCTATTCTAGAAATAGACTCCAATGTCCACTTTTAAAGAGTTTGAAAGTATTTTCTGACCTTTCAGAGGTGGGGGAAAAAAATCCTTGGGCTCAATGGAAACAAGATTTCACTTTTGGCTTCATCTCTAATCAGAGTTGAAATGTTAGGTTTACATAAACCTACCTGAAGCCTTTCTTTGTTATGTATCAAACTCCCCAGAGGCTTTTTCAGTGATATGAAAATCTCAGTTTACTGTCTTAGGGATCCAATTTCCTGTCTTAGGAACCCTTTAATAAACAAAGATACGGTACCCACTTGCACCTTTGGCAAATGACAGGAGATTGACATCCATGAGATTGTGTCTCAACCACTTTAAGAAAGATCTGACTACTTTAGGTTTGTGTAACTGCCTATTCACAGAATCGGGCAACTAGAGGATAATGGAGAGTGGTCAAAAGGAGCAGGTCTGTTTCCTTATTTAATTCGGAGCGCTGTACTATGGAAGTGCCTCAGAAGCATGTCACTTGCCCCTCTGATTTTGGAAGAACAAGTTATTTTGTAAAGTGTGTGATAGTTCAATAAAATTACATCTTCAAAAGGAAATTTCAGACCTTTCTGCTTACATGATGGGGCATTAATTGGCATATGTCATTACTTTATTGAATGAGTTATCATTAGCTTCTGCAATGATATATTATTCTAAATACAATTGTGAACAGTGTGAAATAAGAGTTTATAATAAAAGCTATAGTTCCAGAACATTTTAGAAGGCTATGATTCTGTGAATCTTGTTAAATATTAGAATTAGATACCTAATTACATTGCAGCAACATATATCAATGAAACCATTTTTGCTATTAGATAATGAGAAGTCAAAGTTTTCAGGAAACTCCAGTAGTTCCTAATTTCAGCACAGCACACTTTATGTTTGTAAATGTTGTCTACATTAATAAAGTTAATAAGGTTAATTAATAAAGTTAATTTTAATGATTGTTCTATAAACAACTAATAGTAATAAAAAGCATATTTTTGCCTGGCCATCTAAGTTAATCTTTTTTATGGACAATGTTAAAACTGACTGAGACATGGACTATTTTTTTTTTTGACTATTCTTGTTAAGAAGACAAGTTTGCCTATGTAAAAACAGATTCACTTATTTAAATAACTAAGTTCCCGGCCAGAAAAAAAGATTTGGGCCGTTCATTGGAGTTTGTGGAATAGGAATCTGACACTTACCTCTGTTTTGATGTATTGTGTTAGCCAAAAAGTTTGTTCCGGCTTTTCCGTAACATCTCATGGATGTTGGTGACCCAACAGCTTGAGGATAGATCCTCAGATCACAGATCACAGGCTTTTATCTCTGAGTTGTGTCCTTGTTCTGTGTGCCTGAGGTTCGGCCTCAGTCAGTAGTCTGGTCCCTCAGGACTATAGTTTTAAGTTCCTTGATAGAACTACTACATTATTATTCATTTTCTTCATCGTGCTCCCAGGATATAGCCCTGGTTTGGGGGGTACCCCTCCTAGAGATGGGTGTCCCCTGTAACGTTGTCTATATGGCTGGGGCCATACTTCCCTGCTACCAACTGCCTGAGTCCCCATCCCTGGGCCTCAGCCACCTTCTGGGACATTTCCAATACCTCTCAGGCACAACTCATGCTGATTTGCCTGTTCCTAGAAGTACTGATTTTCCTTTTCGACAAAGTTCTGTTCATTCAACATACGGTTACTGAAGTCCTGCAAGGCAATCCACCATTCCACCATCTGGATTCTCAGAAATCAGTAACTGGGGTGGGGTGCAGCAAAAGGATGCCTCACCCCCAAATGTAGCCCTCAGATACTCACTTTGCTTGGTATTCCTGCTACCACTGCGACCTAGCTCCAGGGGTGGGGGCTGGGCGGGGGTACTGGGCTTCCTCTCCTTCTCTGGCAGACCCAGAGGTGTTGTCATAATACCTCTTGCCTGGCTGAGACCAGACTGGAACATCCAAACACAGCTTTCCTCAAGGCTCAGGGATGACAGAAAAGAAAGGAAGACAGTCCCTAGGATGGGATGATACAGCTTGTGACCCTCTCCAGTTTGCCTCTGAGCCCAGTCCCCAGCCTGCTGGGGAGGGAAAGAGCACACCCCTCTTCCACTTTTGGCAGGGCCCTCAGCATGCCTCTCCTCCCCCAAATCTAGGCTAGGAAAGTAAGGTCTTAAGGCAGGGGTCCCCAACCCCCAGACTGCGGACCAGTAGCGGTCCGAGGTCTGTTAGGAACCGGGCTGCACAGCAGGAGGTGAGCAGCGGCGAGCGAGCGAAGCTTCATCTGCCGCTCCCCATCGCTCCCACCGCTCCCCACCGCTCCCCACCGCTCCCCACCGCTCCCCATCGCTCACATTACCGCCTGAGCCCTGAACCATCCCTTCCCCCTCCCCACCCCCGCCGCCCCAGTCCATGGAAAACTTGTCTTCCACAAAACCGGTCCCTGGTGCCAGAAAGGTTGGTGACTGCTGTCTTAAGGGACTTCCTTTACTGCCAAGACTGATTTCAAAGGTCTGGCTTCCTGTTCAAAGACCCACATCTTCCCTAGGTGATTGATGTCCCCCCAGCCCCACTAAGTGGCAGATCCTACCTGAAGGTTTCAACAGGACAGATAACATCTGAATACACTCCAGTAAGATTAAGATTGTTACAAGAGACCTACTTGTGAGGAGGTGGGAGGTCTTTCCTGGTGCACCAAGAGGACCTTGTATTGAGGAGCATATGGTCCAGTGGCAACTTGGCTTTGGCATTTATAGCTGGGCCTCTGTGCTCTCTGTGGTTTTATCCTGCAGGGGAACCTGGTTCCGTGGCCTCATCCTCTCAGCTCCTCCATTCAACCACAGTTTATGCCATGATTGGCCCAGCCGAGCCCCAAGATTCCCAGTGAGCTTTGCTTAAATGGATAGTAGACAATTGTTGTACTTTTGGTTGCCCATCATCTTCCAAATAGTCCACCCATATTGATGATGGCATCTGTCATTCATCTGGGGAGGATGTGGTTCTTAGCACAGGAAGTCAGACCTTTGAAGTTGGTCTTGGCAGGAGAGAAAATCCTAGTTCACTTAAATATGCTCAGAAATGGGTGCCTGACCTAGACTGCCAACAAGACTTGTCCTTGGGAGACATGTGTTCAGAACGAGGCATGGGAGGAAATGCGTTGGTTCTCTGTGAAAGTTCCACTTGGCTGGTACAGGAAGGCAGTGGCTGCCAGGTGGAGCTGCTGGCCCAGAAGTGGCGTCAATGTTGGTGGCAGTGGCACTCAAGTTCCTGGCTTCTAGTGCATGGTGGCCACAGCCATTCCTGGTTTTTTCACCAGCCCAGTTCTTCAGTGTGGTCTTAGGCATTGTTCCTGGAAACAACCTTGAGCCACTTTCTCCACCCTCCCCAAACCTCCAGTGTCCTTTAATAAATCCCTTTTCTGCTTAATCCAGCTAGAGGCAGGACTGCCGTTTGCAACTAAGAAATGTGACCGATACGGATGAGATCATGGGAATTTCATGGTTTGGGGATAAACAGGCACTATACACTAGATTGTAGGGCCTGGGGCACGTGGACTCATTAAACTTTCAGCTCTGCCGCTTTGTAGGTGTATGATCCGTGACCAAACCTCACGGACCTACAGGTTTCTCAGGTGTAAACAGGAATGCTTCTTATGAGGATTCAATGATCTATTGTACGTAAAGAATCCTGTGTGGTTAATGAAACGCGATGAGCGCTCCATCCTAAGTATTAAATTATGTACCCTGTTGTGCTAATATAAGAATAAACAGAAGTTTTTATTATTTTTAAGATTTGTTGAAAAAAATGTTCCATAGTTCTTCTCTTGGGGAAGTACTGATTTCAAAGCAAATCTTGCCAGTTTCAGTCAGTTTCCTGCATTGACTGAAATTTCTCTGTCACATCTTCAGCTAGCTGCAGGCTTTAAATGAAAATGTAGAAGGCAGTCAAGAAAGACCACAAATTGTATGATTCCATTTGTATGAAAAGTCCAGAGTAGGCCAGTCTATAGAGACAGAAAGTAGATCAGTGCTTGCCTAGGGCTGTAAGGAAATGAGTGACTGCTAATGGTGACAGGTTTTCTTTTGGGGGGTGATGAAAATGTTCTGAAATTGACTGTGGTAGTGGTTGTACAACTCTGTGAACATAGTGAAAACCATGGAATTGTGCCTTCTATTTTTTTATTATTTTTATTTTTTTGGCCACGCCACACGGCATGGTGGACCTTAGTTCCCTGACCAGGGATCAAACGCGCGCCTCCTGCCGTGGAAGGGGGAGTCTTAACCGCTGGACCG